TTGAAAAAAGCATCAAGCATGAAACCTCTCAATTTTAGCAATTTCAATAATGTAAATTACATTACATAATAATGATAAGATAAAAACATGTGTTTGCAACATCCAAATTTCAAAATCCAATAAGTCATGTATCTATAAATGAATTAAATTTTAGTTTTGATTAATTTACTTTGATCATCTTCACTTAGGTTAAATTTTATTTATTAACCTCAGTTATAAAATATACATGAGCACAAAAGTTTTTCTTTCACAAAGAGAAAGATTTAACATGAATTAAATACAACATAATAAGCATACTTATAGAAAAATGTCATATTTTAAAAATATGCTGAGAAATCCTACATACACCCCCAAAGAATTACAAACTTCATACTAATAGCTAAAATATTAAGCCAAATGATGTGGCACAATCTTAATAAGCAAGTAGAAAGCCTTTAATGTATAATTTTTTAAGTTTGGGAGTTTAAAAGAAACAAAGAGAGATCAGAGAGAAAAAAACAAGAGGTGCTGGCGAAGTTTGTGAAGGAGAGGGAGGGGTTCAACTAGAAGTTCTGGGGAGAAAATAGAGGTGAAGATTTTGAATTGTGATTTTATGAGCAGTATAAATAAAAGATCATAGTTAATATTTTCATTATAATCATATTTATTATTTCAGCATGTCTCTATATATGTATTATGTTAATGATCTATTTTTTGGAGTGAAACTTAAGCATACGTGTTGAGGTGAGAATGTATGTTATAATATAGAGATGAAAAATATTATCTTCACTCTGCTCCACCTAAGCTCTATGTGATTTGATGTTACGAGTAGATTAAGTTTGCGAAGGTATGACATGCTATAATCATTTTGATTAAAAAAATGTTTTATTAGTTTTAATTATGTCTGAAATATGGCTCATATTATCTAATGCATTCACAATATACTAATGCACATTAGTTTCATAGATAGACTTTGTTTAATATGAGCATAATATATAACTAATTAATTAATTATTATTATATTCTTCTCAAACTAAATTTAATAACTAATCATGGTCCTGAGTTATACCTTAAGGAAACATATTTCCCTTGATTGATTTAAGGCATATCTGCCATATGTTGCTCAATATATATGTAAAAAATATGCAACTCCTACCATATGAATGTGATGAGACTTAGGGTCCGTTTGGGGCAGCTTGTGCGTTTCAGGATAAGCTGTTTATCCTGAAACACGGCCCGCGGGCCGGCCGCAGAGGTCGACCTGCGACCCGCGTTTAGTGTAAAAACTCAAACTAAGCCCCATGTAATCCCGATGTAAACTCCGCTGTCCGCCCCATGTACAGCGCTTGTAATCCCGGTGTACGCCCAATGTAACCTCCACTGTCGACAAAGGATGTAATCCCGGTATACATTCCGCGGAAAAGCCATTGTAACCCGCGTGTACCATCTTTGTACAGCCGGTGGAACATTCCGAATGTGCGTGTACGCCGGATGTAATCCCGGTGTACTTCCGCGGTAAACCCGCCGTAAGACATCAGATGTACACTTGATGTACAACACGTGTAAAGCCAAAGTAACCTCCGCCAATTGTAACACGCGTGTAAACCGAATATAACGTCGTTGTAACCCGAATGTACCCTCCATGTACACCCGAAATGCGCTTGTAAACCGAATATAACGTCTTTGTCGAAGCCTTTTACGTTATATACCTTACCACCAGCGCCACCATTGTGGAAAAGGGTACATATTACCCCCACTTCAAATTTGGTTAAGCTGAGCTTGAATGACATCAGGAGTATTAAGTAACAGAGGCAGGACACACATTTCAGTTTATCAGTAAACTCTTAAAAGATTGGACCGATGTGGATGCTAACTCTTATTTTGAGAAAGACGCTAAGATACCAATAAATTATATAAATTCGACTTTTTGAAACATTTTAAAATTGCAAGACTAACTTCTTAAATTCAATTAATATTATTTTTCAAAATATAATGTTACTTTATGAGTTTTTAAATTAAATGAATTATTAAATAGAAGTTTAACATTTATAAGAAAATAAATAATTAATTATTAATTATACTTTTTTAATAATAACTTATAAATTTATTGAATGAATAAATAAATTATATTTATTTTTTATTAATTAATAATTAAATAATAAATAAATTTGTATGAGTTTAATAAATCTGATAATATTTTAATTCATTCTTAATTATTAATCAATTAAATTAATAAAATTAACTAACATAAAATTAAATTAAAAAAAATTAACTTACATAAAATTAAATTAAGAAAATGAACTTACAGTATTACATCATCTTTCTCATCTTGGGAAAAAATTTGGGTACATAAGACGCACGCAGCGCTGCGTGCGATAGCGAATCACCGGAAGACGCGTCGGCTCAGTCGGCCCCACCGCTATAAAAATATACTTTTTACCGTGCGTGACCCGTCGACCCGACCCGTCATTGTAAGCCCCATGTAATCCCGATGTAAACTCCGCTGTCCACCCCATGTACCGCGCGTGTAAG